ACCTACTCACAATTTTTGCCCAATAGGGGAGGATTCGTGGTGTAGATATCAAAGAGAGAGTGCGAGTGTAAATCTGAGATCCTGCAAATATAAAAATTCAATTCCACCACCTGTAATGGATGCTAAAAATTCCGGGTGTGATTATAATGTTAAGACAGCAGTAAATTAGGGTAAATGAGGCAGTTATTACATACAACGAAGGTCAATCTGGGCGATTACATACTAGGAATGAACTTGGATATCGGATTGGTGATAATGCAGTCAGGTTTGCAGCAGATACTGATCAACGTGGTATTCAGTCAGCCGAAATAAAGGCAGAGATGTCTACAATAAATGCTTGCAGAGCAAGAAAAGGAGCCAAATTTGTTGCAGTAACAGCTGTTGAAGAACAAGAGGGTATGGTGTCTGCAGCTGGGCAGTTTTGAAAAATGTTTGAAGAAAATCTTTTTTTTTTTTGAAAACATTTTAAACTTAAAAAACCATTTTTCTCAAAAATTTTCATACTTGCGCGACTCTTTAAACAATCTTTTTAGCTTGATTTAAAAATTTAAATGGTGAAATATTTCTTTGATATTTTTAATTTTAAAATATTGCAGAATATACCTAATGATGTTTAAATTTTCACAAAATTTTGTAAAAATTATTATTGTAACTAGATTTCTATTACTGTCAGTTTGCGCGCAGTGCTTTAGTACAAATTTTAAAATTTGGGGCAAATACAAATTTATTTTTCTTTATAAAACAAATTCCTATACACTATTAGTAAAATAAATCAAGAAACATAATTATCTATGTATAGAGATGACACACTGAAAATTTCATATATCTAAGACCATAAAAATTTGACTTAATTAAAACTCGAAAAAAATCAGTCAAAATTCTTACTTTTTGTGTTGTGCAAAGGTGATAGTAACGTTTGTGAAGGCAATCTTTAGTGAAATTCATATCGTTTACATGATTACATTTACGTTTGTCACAATGTGAATAACTTCTAAGACATCAGACGTTTGGAATTTTGGCCATCATAATTATTACTACATTTTTTACATTTCTACATTATTACACAAATAAATTCATATAAAACGTAATTAAAACTCTACAGTTAAATTCATGTAAAACGTAATTAAATCATTATATTGCCCAAAGTTATTTAATTGTTCTAGTTCGATCAAATGCATAAAAATTATTTAAAGAAATCTCATTCCTTTTTTAATGCCGTAAAGACTAATATATGTTAATTACATGCTTTTTATACACTGCATCTTAATTCTGTTTTTAATTTAAAACGTGTAATATTAAAAACAACAACGGGACCTACTTAGCACCTATTTTTTAATTCCATTTGCTTGCATTTCGAAACACCTTCCATTCAAAGACACTTTCTGTAATTCTTGTACATCTAGACTCTCTAGTCTTGCAATTTCGAAATATTTTTCACTGCGTATGTCTCTGCAAATAAAAATTAGTAACCCTTGTGCGTGAACCTTCTTGTAAATAAATGACCTTGTATAAAATTCTTTAGTTCTGATATAATATTTCTCCTAGTACACAAATTTGCATCCTAAAAAATACATTCTTCATGTAGGCACAGTAATAAAATAATTTTTCGATAAATTTTACTTGCACATTTTATGGTGCTCTGATTTTGTTGCCAGCTAAGTTTATTAGTTTTGTATTCGACCTATCACTATATAAAGATTTTTGCTAAAATTAAAATCTCCTGTGATGTTAACACTTTTTTCTCAAATCGATTTACAAACGTTAGAAAATTAGAAAACTATAACATAATCGTTAAGGTAAGCAAATTAAATTTGAAGTAAGTATTAAAATATTATTACAAATTACTTTATATTATATATTTCATTAATTCTTCGTATCTTAAAAATGTATAGTTATCTGGATTTCAAATTACTGATGATGTCCAATATTTCATTACGATCAGATGTTTACTGAAGTTTTCAATCACAATTAATTTCATTTGGAATTAAATAATATTAGGAATTTTCTATATATGCAAACAATTTTAGTGAATTTATACGTAAAATTGTAATATCTCATGTATGATGTAACATGAAAGACCTCTAGAGTCTGAAGTTTCGCCGGAAAAATAAGGTTACAAGGACAAATCTTCTGAACATTAAGGCTCTCTCACATAACTGGTGAGATATCGCCAACTGGTGATGGCGATTTGGCGTTTGGCGATTAATTTATATCGCCAAATTTTGAAAGAATTATTCCCAAATTTGGAGAGAATTATTTGACGATTATTGCTTCCAAATGATCTCCAAATTTGGCCACTATTTGGCAACATTTTGGTCCCATCCTTGTATACCTTGCCTTCTCCTTACTGCGTGTCTAATGGTCTTTGCCTTTCAGCATTTCGAGAAATCGGAGGTGCTGAAAATTTCTTGGCGGACGACAGAGGAAAGAACATCAGTTCAGATTTGAGTTCAAAGTGTTGAGAAATCAATTCGCGAGTTTACAAACTAAGGCTTTATATATTGCCTATGTTTAACGTTCTTAGTGATCTGAAGTGGTAAACTACCAATTGTGTTCTGTCATATTGAAAAGTACGAATATTCTTGTGATACGTTACAGAGCTCAAAGTATGTTTTTCATAAAATAAATTTTATCAGGCTGTCATCAGGTCTGTGCGTATTCAATCCATTACGAACTTGTACGCATGTAAAAATATTAGTATGTTGGTTTTGTAATAAAATTTTGCTCAGTTATCAAGAATGAGATTTTCCTCCTAAATACTTTGCAGAGGCATTTAAGTTATTTTAAAGCAAGAAATGGGGAAAATGTGCAATGCCCTCGCCAGGACTCGAACCTGGACCTCTCGATACATGCCGAGTCAGCCAACCATTTCCGAAGGCATGCATAAGGGAGAAAATACCTTCTATACTCCTCTTTTAAAGGCCGACTGGGGATTACGGGACCCAATAGCCAAATCTTGGTGGCAAAAAATCATCATCCATCATCTTTTAGTTCGGGCGCCACTGTAGAGTCATTACGTTATTTTTGAAGCAGGAGATGCTTAAAATTAACAACGCCTTCGCCTGGACTCGAACCTGGATATCTGAATTGCGAGCCGAGTTCGCTAACCATTACGCCACGAAGGCTTACAGGAAAGAGGAAGAAAATACTTTACATACACCATCTTTCAAAGGATGACTGGGGATTAGGGGACCCAATCGCCAACTCCTGGTGGCGAAGAATCATCACCGAACACCTTTTATTTCGGGCGCTACTGTAGAGTGATTAGGGTTTAGAACCAGAGGGAAAGGAAAAATGAGCAATGCCCTCGCCGGGACTCGAACTTGGACCTCTCGTGTACGCGCCGAGTGTGCTAACCGTTACACCACGAAGGCATGCAGGAAGGAAAAAGAAAATACCTTATAAGCTTTTTAACACACAGTTGTAGGTCTTGTGATTCTGAATACAACAACTTTTAAACTGTTAAGATAGCTAAAGAGAAGGTTGTTGTTATGATTGATCTCTCTTGTATGAATCAGAACAAGACCACGAAAGTCATCACGGCAAGAAGTACAAGATTAATTCCAAGTGCCCGTATTCGGGTAAAGGACTACATTGTTCAAGTTTTGACGGCTCTAGGTGCTATTGTTTTTTCACAATGCGAGAAACATATATATATTTATACAGATTCTTCATTATTTAATTTCTTTAAATAGAATACAGAGCGGCAATATTTGGCGTGAACAATTTCAAAAATAATACAACGTATTTAAGTGCTTCGAAACAAAATGAATCTGAAATTTATTGCTTTTAAATCGCTTAATTTGTTAATTAATAGCTGAATTAACTTGAAACAAAAATGAAATCTTCTTAAATGACCTTCTTGTCCTTTTGGAGGTCAAGTGTACCAAATTTCATTGGAATAAAATTGTGTATTTATATGAAAGAAAGTCTCATGGACACTCTTCTTTATTTATATAGTATATATTCTCTCTAATAGTGGACAAATGAAAAGCATGATACAGTTTTGTACATATTTGTATGTTCTGATATACAAGATAAAAGCTCTGAACAGAATTTAGACACATTTTTAGGTATTGTTTAAAAGTGTGAGTAGACAGTTGTTTAAAGCTTTTGTGCGCAACTAACTGGCTGAGCTATATGGCAAGTCCCATGGGCTATCAGCCTAACAGGAAAGATGCCTTCATGAAGGATTTCGAAGGGAAACTGGCTCACATGGGAAAAAATACAAAACACAACCACGCAATAAGAGGAAAGATACCTTCGAGAAGGACTTTCTGACGGAAACTAGCTTGTATTCACGTCACACAAGGAGAAAACCACGAAAACTAACCCATTCGCTTGGGATCGAATCCATGTCTAACTACCACTAGTTAGAGGTCTTAACCATTCGGTTATTACTGAGGCCGCACTGAAAGAAATTGAACGAAAAATAAATAAATAAAACCAAGGACATAGGTGAAGTTTCATGTTCCGCCCTTCGAAAAATTTCTAATGGAATATTTCCGTCAAAACTGGACCTGCTTTCTGAAGGCAGAATTAATCTGAAGCGTTTATTTCAAAATTTTCAGATTTTCAGTAAATCAAGCAGAAAGTGATGTAGTAATGGCCAAAAGATGCGATAAAGCGCCAAAAATGGAAGCATTTGCGCTGAGGTTATTAGCCTCAGCCTTTAATCATTCACGCTTTCTTGCCCGTAATATTTTGTTTTATTCTATGCACTGCAAACTTTGGTGTGATTTTATTTATTTAATTATTTTATTATTATTATTGTCGTGACGGATTCGTGGCATGTATTGAAAACTGAAACAGAACCTAAATTGTCAGCAAGATTCAGAAATATTGACAACAAATCGAAAATGTTCAGATTCGAACAAAGTCTTCACTGGTATTACCACCGACATCGCTCCCAAAGTTATACGCATGATTACCGCATTTCTGTCTTACGGATAAAAAACAAATAAAAAGATTTCAATTCAACACAAAACAAAACAAAATGATGGATGTGAAACTCATTAAAACATTTTTTTTTATTTTTTCAGTAATTACAAAAATGTAAAAGCAGTCTTACAGGAAAATATGATGACTCATTTCAATAAGTAACAAAAAAGTCAAGAATAAAAGACAAGTCAGAAAAATCTTCATTGTATTAGCATTACAGTAAGAGTAAATAATTCACTGGGACAAAACGTCAAACTCGAAGCTAATTACAATTAAATACTGAAAAATGAAAAAAACACATTTAACATCACATCGTATATACACAACAGTCGCTTAGTTATAAAGTTAACAGTCACTCAATAACAGTCCATCTTTATACAAATAAATTGCACATTTGCTCTCAACAAATACATGCACATTATCATTCATAATATTTATATACAATTAAAATACAAGTATCATGAACCACTTTTCCTCGAAAATTTGCTCATGATTGACACAAATTTGCACTAGCGACCAGTCATAAAAATAAAAATGAAAGTAGGTTAAAAGATAATGAATTACAATAGAGTTAAATAGATGGCAGCACCAGCCATTCTTGCGAAATAGTTTCAAATTACACATATAGATGGCAGCACTACTCTTTTTAAATTAATAATCTTCAACTATTTCTTTAAAAATTTCAAACCTTAATATCTTTACAAATGGGATTGCGTACTATTTAAATAACAGTACTTTTACTGCATTTTTTTTTTAAGGAACAATCTCAAAAACATTTTCCAGTTGAAAAATAAGAAATTGTTCGATTAGAAAACATTCCTTATGAAACATATGCTTTCTTCTCTTATTAGCAAACACATTTTAAACAAATTTATATAAATAATAAGAATAGAATGACATCAGAAGTTTATTTGCTTTTTATTCTAACAGTTTTATAGTTAAAAACTGTAATTTTGCTACTTGATGTTTCAGCTTAGTATTTAAGAAACATTTTATATTACGATAATTATTTTAACAAAAATCCTACGACCTGACACAGTTGCGCAAGGTAACTGTTTACTCTCTGATTATAGTTATATTTATTAAATATATATTTAGCTCATTTAATATTACAGCACAATGACTCAGTGCAGTGGAGCACAATTTAACTACGATTCTCTGCAGTAAAATTCATTTTAAGCATTTAAACAATATTTATAACTTTGTGCAAAAACATTACAGCCATATTTTTCCGCCAGTACATCTTATACATTGGAAAATAATAACAGTAGCAAAAATAGACAAAACAGATCGCATAAAATGGAAAAACAAGCAAAAATTCACAGTTACATAAACAAACACTTGATGCATTGAACATTAAAATCAAAACAAGAAACGATCAGAGAGAGATTTTGTTGCATGAAACACACTCTAGCGGTGGGAGGAGCGGGGAAGGAATTGATGAACATATGCGAGTTATGGAAAGAATTACTAGTACTGTCATATTATTAGTATTATATTAATACACAAAAATACTCTCATTACAGATTTTAATATGCATTTCTGGATTCACAAACATACATACTTGGGCCTAAAACTTACTATTTTTTGTAAGAGTTCAACGTTAAACGGCAAATTTTTCTTCGCGTTAAGTTGCAGATAAATCACAATCACTGCAGCGATATATTTCTCGAATATTTCACTCCATGTTGCATTAAGCTACCAAAATATGATAGAGGTCCGCGAGAATTTCTACACAGTTATTAAAATTTTAGTTTTAACATTCGATTCAGTTCTCCAAATTAAAATATGTTTAAAAATGTTCTGTTAAAGGAAGGTGAACTGCACCACTGCCTCAATGGCAAATACGTATGACGAGCTAATATAACAATGGATATACAGTGTGAATCTGAACAAGAGGGCAGACAGTTAGGGGGTGATAGAAAGCAACTATACGAGTAATATTCGTCAGAGACTGTATGATCGGGACTCAAACGGTGGCATAGTAAATGAATAGTATAAAGAGGGTCAGTCCTCTCATCCAACGGGCATTTTCTATCGTGGATTGCCGAGAGGATTGCTGGTTATACGAATAACATGGATTGGTCAAGGTGGTCCCATAGCTTGGCCACCAAGATCACCGGATCTCTCTTTTGCGGACTTTTTCTGCGGGGCCATCTGAGAAGCTTAGTCTACGAGAGCCCCATTGAAAACAATACATATCTAGGCGCCAGGATCGCCGTTGTTGCTGGTGAATTCGGGAAATGCCTGGTGTCTTCGCAAATGTGCGTCAATCCCTATCCTGCAGGCTTAAAGCCTTCATTATAGTTGTCGGAAGGTCTATTCAGTAATTTTTATGAGCACGTTCTGTTAATAAAACGTTTTCTGAAGTATTTCCTCTCATTCTTGTGTTAATTTTTTAGATACGACAGTGGAAAACTACTCTGTAACTACTTTCCGACCATACATTCTATGACGAATATTGCTCCTTGCCTTCTTGTTCGAATCACCTTGTATATTTCAGAAAGTGTTCAAATACTTTCAAGAGACATAACTTCCTTATATCTTTCAGGCAAAAATAATCAGGAAGTTAACTTGGTTGTATAATCGGCTGAAATATTTCAGTTCGCTTGAAACCTTCAAACCATTTTGAAGAAAAACTCATGAACACAGAAAACTGGAGAGGAAATGTGTACGGGAGTTTGTCATTTAGTTTACATGCATCAGATTATTAATTACAGTGAGTTAATCCAGTTTGACCAGAATCACTGAAAATAATGAAGCTACAAATATAAACGTTTTTCACAAGAATAATCAGAGCGTACATTGAAAGCGATGAATGGAAACGATTTTTTCTAAGAGAAAGCTTTATAAAAAGACTTATAAGACTAACAGAAATAGAACACATTTAGCATTTTATACGAATATTTTCTAATGTTAGTTTAGTTCTGTACAGAACACGAAATATCTTCAAAATGATAAATATCTTATACTCATTCCAGATGATTTGCATTAATCTAAACTATAATAATGTTATGAGTTTATATATAAATTAACAGCTTTAAACACATTTTAATAAAAGAATGCAATGCCAAGAACTCTTTTCCTTTATGCTCTTTCAGATATGTTGAAAATCTCATCATCAATTCTTTAACTTTTATTAATTCCTTAATTTCCAAAAAGAAATCACCATCAATGAGCCTAAAGTTTCAAGAACAAAGATCAGCATAGCCCAATTTCGTTATCAGTAAACTTGAAGTTTCGAGATAAAAAAGCAGCATAGCCAAATTCACTATCAGTAAACTTGAAGTTTTAAGATAAAAAAGCAGCACAGCCCAGTAAATGGTTTCACTATGTCAAGTTTCAAGATAAAAAAGTAGCATAGCCCAATTTCACCATCAGTAAAATTGAAATTTCAAGATAAAAAAAGCATAGCCGAATTTCATTATCAGTAAACTTGAAGTTTTAGATAAAAAAAAAGCAGCATAGCCCAATTTCACCATCAGTAAACTTGAAGTTTCAAGATTAAAAAAGCAAGCATAGCCCAATTTCACCATCAGTAAACTTGAAGTTTCAAGATAAAATATCACCATAGCTTGATTTCAGCAAGCTTATAGATACTCAAATTCTTCATATTTTCTAAAATTGGACTAGGCTGTACCCATTTCATAGTCATGTTTTATAGTAATGATTTTGGTTTTACCTTTCGGGATTTCTTAACTTGAGATTTTTATTTCGAAAATAAAAAACTTCAGTGTTTGGCTTTGGAAAATGAATAAAACAGTATAACTTCAACAACTTCAAGATTCAAGATAAAAATTCCACATACATGAAGCCATTAAAAATTTTCAAGTTTGCTAGGTATGGATTATAAAAAGGTAACAAGGTTTGTAATCAATTTCGCGATAATATTTGACAGTAATTTAGCTCTTTGGGTAATACTTTACTTTCATGAAATTTTTTTTTTTCAAACTTCTAACAAAACAGAAAGAAAAAACATATTTCAACTTCAAAAGACTTGAAAGTGTTTCAGAATAAAAATTTCAGTAATAATCATAACTTAACAAGCTTGAATTGTCAAGAGTTTTTTAAGAGACAAAACACTCTAAGACCCAGAATGCGACTTTCATATTTTACCCAAATAATCTATTTGCCAAATAGAATTTGTAATTTATCCATTTACCAATAATCTATTGTCGTAACAACTTTTAAAGTTTAACTGAAAATGCAAAAGATAACAAAAACTTTAAATATGGTTAGCATTTATCTGAAGGATTTCAATTCACAGGCTCAAAAATAATGGATTATGTAAGAGACATAAGCAATCTTTTAAATACATTTGTATAACTGCGGTTTGAGCTCAATGGTATGAAATCTAAAAACAGTCACATTTACAGGTACTCGGATGAGATCACAATACATCGACTACACCGGGACTGACTGCTAAGTCATGTTTTCTTCTCAAACATGTTTCTCAGCAGCATTTTGTGCACAGGCTTCGACACAACAGCATTGTCTATGTCATGTATCGACCTCCTTGGATATGCATTTGTACAATTTTCAAGTAGTATTTACAAAATATAAAAGTTCAGAGCTGTATCTCATAATACCATCGTTCTGCAATACCCACTATACGTCCTGGCACCATCACGTGGGCTATCATAATCTTCCACGACGTAAGGATCTGTGTGATGCGTGGGGCAAGTTGCCTTAGGTGGACAATCGCACAGAAAACTAGTTGTCACGTCTTCTACGGGAAATCGTTTGCGAACTGAGAATAGGCGGCAGGGTTCCTTCCGACCACATGGCATTTTCTAAAGACAAATATATGTACAAAAATTAGGAGATTAGGAAAAAAAACGTGCCAAGTTAAATAAAAATGCTAATAAGTTAAAGAATAAACATTAATAAGTTAAATAAAAACACCAATAAGTCAAAGAATAAACAGTAATAAGTTAAATAGAAACATTAATAAATTAAAATAATAATAAGAAGAAACACTAATGAGTTAAAAAATAAACACTAATAGTTTAAGTAAAAACATCAGTAAGTTAAAGAAAAAAACACTAATGAATTAAAGAATAAACTCCATTAAGTGACAATCATTAATAAATTATAAAAACACATTAATAGGTTAAATAAAAAAGCATTAATTAGTCGAATAAAAATTGACTAATATAGAATGCTCGCCAGGCGGTAATGTCCCTGAACACTGGTAGTTCGGTCCGAGGTTCGAATCCCATGAATGGGCTGGCTAGATGGGCATTTTCGTGGTTTTCCCCATGTGTAACGTGCAAATACGAGCCAATTTCTCTTAGAAAGTCCTCCACGAAAGCATCCCTCCCTTCCGTGTAGTGCCTTAGGGCGGAACACGTAAATAATAATAATAATAATAATATAGAACGCTCAAACATTTTGACCACGATTCTTCTTCTCTCCGTAATATTTATTTTAGACTTATATTTCGAATGGTAAAGTTTCTTAAAATCAGAAGCAGATCTTTTTTAAAACTATCTCAATCACTGAAGGTAGAAAGGATCTACAAGTTAAAATCATTTGGAATGGTGTTTGTAGAGTTAAAATTTCAATTACTACAAAGTTAAAGATTTAAATTAAAGGCATAATTCGAAGTCTTTACTTGTTAAACGTGAAATTACACTGTATATAAAGTAATTAAAAATCGGTTTCTTCTCCTTAGTTAATTTCTTTTTTAAAAAAATACCGTATTTCCTTGCATATTTCTCCCAATAGTTTCCTAATAATTTTCAGCATTTCATTTCGAAACTTCTGGTTCGTAGTGACAACGTAAAATGCATGCACAAATAGAAAAAATATTTTATACAAATTAAAACAATCTTACCGAAATTTCGTAAGTTCTTACTGTTAAGAAATACATAATATAACAATATTAGTGTGCATTCATGTGTTCTTTCTACTGTGCTATGTTCATCAATTAAGCCGTCTCTTGACAAATATTTTTCCAAATTTTTCCCCTTCATGGTTTTAAGGGGCAAAATTTGTAGGAAAAGAAGGGGGAAATGCACGAGTAAGTATGGAGGTTTCCCCCCCCCCAAAATATGTTTTATAATTTCACTGAAGTTTTAAATTCTTCGGATTATATGCTATTTGTTTAAAAGTAAAAATTTTTATTTAAATTTTTCACTGAAGTATTTTCAATTCTTTAAGTAAAATATAATTCTCTTTATTTAAGGTACAAGATTCTAATTAGAATTTACTTTGTTTTTTCCTTGCTTTGGGGAAAAGCCGGAATTTTCGGATCAACTATTATAATTAAAATACATTGAAATGGTTCATCGGCTAATTCTGGGTACAAAAAAGCAAGGATTTTTGTAGAAGAGAGATTTCAATAGATTTCAATGTTCCTCTCCCCTGACGAAGCGGCACTGAAGTTGATTGAGTTTCTCTTCTGTTATGTACTTTTTTCTGTAAATTTCATTAATTTTTTAATGGGGTTCTGCTTGTTTGAAAAGGTTTAATTTTAACATTTTTTTAATTCTTTGTTGCTTTTATAGAATTATTTGGAATTTATTAATTATTAATTTCAATTTTTTTTGTCTTTCCTAACAATTAGTTCTAAATTTCTTACCTTATGTCTTTAATGGTAATTTTCCAGCAGCTTAAAGCGCGAAAATACTAGGCATGTTCATATTTTGCTTTAAAAATTTTTTTTTGTTATTATGTATATATATGTATACATTATTGGCGAAGGAAAAGGTATATAGATAGCAATACACATATTGTTACAGATTTCGTATTTATTTAGCTATTTTTTTAGAATTAATTAATATTGTTTTATATCCCCGTGCAATGCAGCACGAGATTATTTGAAGAGAAAGCTACGTCGCAAAATTAAAAATACAAGAGCTCGCGCATTTAATAAATAGATATCTCGTAATTGTACGCTTTTGCTTTCCGGAAAAATCGAGAAAATACCAGAATATTCTCGTGCTTGGTTTAAAAAGCTTATTAAAGCTGGAGGAAAACATCTCAATTCAGTGTTGTTGTATACTGTAGCGAATTCGCAGTGAAATCGGATTAATTTTCTCTGTTTTGAATTAAGTTCTGTTGAACATTTTAGTAGTTTAAAAGATAACTTTTGTGAGATATTGTGATATTGTACGCATATCTCTGACGAAATTTAAGCATTTTGTTTTTATTTGTTGTGATAAGAATAAATTTCATTCACTTTTCATTGGACTTGTGCATTCAATTTATTACGAACCCCTAAGCACGCAAGATTATTATATTGAACAATCGGTATAATTTTTTTTATATAATAAGTTTCCATAACAGAAATAGCATTCTTTCTTTTACCGAATGATAAGTCATTAGATTAAAGATTTTGGTGAATATTTTAAATACATTTGAAACATTTTTAAATCACTGCTTTTGTAATAAAAACGCTTTTCATGCCTTATTTTTATTGAAAATTTTTATTGGTCACTTTTTCTGCGTTGAAGGTCATTAGTAGCAATAACGGAGGGCGGCGGGAAAAGACAAAATTTGAGAGCCGGGAGACGGGTCGAAGTGAAAATTCGGGAAATTTTCGTAACTTGGGATTTTCACTAATAATTTCACAAAAAATTTCGTTATCGAGGCTTTATATTCATATTTCGGAGAAGACAGAAGAATATCCAAAACTGAAGAAATAACATAACATGTTATAAGGTATTTTCTCCCTCCTTTCCGCATACCTTCGTGGGGTAATTGGAAGCATGCTCGTATTCGAGAGAGCCAAGGTTTGAGCCCCTGCGAGGATACCGCTCATTTTTCACGTCTTCCGCTTCAAAATAACCTAATGACTCTGCAATGGTGCCCGAACAAAATTTGTTTATGTACGTGCAACAACGTACGCATGTGTAAAACAAATATTATTGTAACAAGATATTCCCAGTGTTTAAACCTAGGTGCACATAAAATGCACCACGGTCATGTTTAATTCTTAATGTATAATATTTATGTTGCAGCTGCAGTGCGTGTATCAGTATACAATTATTGTAAAATGTTTAAATATCAGTTTAAAATGCTCAAATTTCAATATAAAGCACGACTTTCTATTAAGCTCCTGACGCCGGGCTTTTGGGGCGCCAAAGAGTTCTCGCATTGTACAGCTCCGGATTCTGGACGATACCCGAATAGTCCTAGTAAGCCACCCGGTTGTCCGAATCCACTCTCACTTGTCACCTGTACTGATACACCTTGCATATACATTTTTCTTTGAGAAACACATTAAAAAAGAATAATTCTCAGCATCGTAGCTGTTTACCAACAGCGACATGCAACGAAAGGCGATTTTACATAATTTTCGGAAAAAAGACTTTTTCTCATAGCGCAGAAGTCACTCTTGTAGTTTGGATTTTGGAACAGGGATACTTTAAAACGTATTTTTGACCCACTTGTAATGCAGAGAAACATACAAATTATTTAAACAAAGTAAATAAAAAATAACTAAACAACAAGAGACACAAATCCGAAATTCAATATTTATGAAAAGTGCCTAATGTTCGCGAAAGCATAGACCATCCCATAACATTCACAGAAATTCGTACCGCGACGGAAGTTGCTGCTTTAATTACTATTAGTGTTGTCGTTGTTGTTACTTATCCTAACTGGTTAGCTATTAACTAGACCAGATCCATGAGTCCAAGAACCATTAATAAGTCCATAACGAATGTAGGTCTGTAAGATCACACCCTTTTTGCTAACATTCAAATATACACGACTTCTAAAGCAGACGACTTCTCACACAAGCGTGAAGAAACAGCACTCGCAGGAAAAGGTTTACATTGCTCTTTTATTTGATTAAACTCTTCAACAAAAATGCACGCAATTTGTGCTTACAGTAACACCGATTATTTGCGGTGGGAACTTAAGAATAATTTAACAATGACGTTAAATGGCAATGAGTAGTGCTGGACTCTTTAAGACTAGCAGGCTGACTCAGCAACCTACACCGGCGATAGATTTTAAATAAATGGCCACAAGGCGTATCAGCAACTCAGACCAACATCAGAAAGGACAAAGTAGCACCGTGCCAGCGAAATGACGCTCTGACTAACTTTCTCTTTTCACCCCTTTAAATACGCTATTTCACTTTAATTTCCATCCTGGCGAGGAAATGCGAGGGGAAGTTGAGGAGTTCAGAAAAGATAACAAAAATTAGAATAACTGGTTATTCAAACTAAAGGGATGTCTGTAAGGGAAACCCTACAAGTCTTTTCAATAGGTCCTCTTTTACGAGCCCCAAACAGGTAAGAAGATATTCAGGAGTGAAATGATCATAATTACATTTCCTACAGATGAGGTACATTTTATTTCCCCGCTCAAATTTAAGGTATTTCATGTGTCCACTTAGGAGCCTCGTCACTGTGCACGATTACTCCCCAAAAGCAATAGCACTTCTCAGCTGTTGGCAAAGTACCAGTCATGAGCCGAAGGAAAATACCAGGAGGAGGAGGCAACAAGGATTCAACTCTCGAGCAGATCTCCAAAGGTTTTTTTTTTTTTTTTTAATTATTATTATTAGTATTTATTTTTACTAATAGAGCAGTAATATTTTTATTTTAAGATTTGAGTCTCAATCATATTGCTTAATCGTTCCTAATTATAGTTGAGCTTCTAAAAATCTATACTTACAATCACAGGAGAACAGGAGAAGTGATAATAGAAGAACAAGCCTTGCGCCGTCATCTTGACATCTTGTCCGAAGATGTACGTGGTGGTATTGTGGGGGCATTTACAGTGCATCCGCTGTTGAAATTTATTATCCGTGCCGATTATATTGGTCCACGTAATGTCCTTGAAAACACGGCATATCGGAAGGGCGTCCGCCGATTCGCAAACCTGAAAGAATAACAAACAATAAATCAACTGATTTTAATTAAATGCATTAGCATATTTAATACCAAAATTGATAGTGTTGTTACGTAATGTCCAGCCGCAGTAAGATAACTTCCCCACGAAGCTAGTTTAGCGTTGTCAGAAAATGGCAAGAGAAGGCAGGGTTGCCAGATTTGGTGCGAAATCGCCCTTTTGGCGACAAAACTGGCGACGTGCCATAGACGCAGCGAGAACATTCTACAACTAATTCCTACCAGTTTGTCCCAGAATGCTCTCGAAGGCAGGCCAAAAAGCTAAATAAACCCAGCTTGTCGCCCAGACGTTATAGAGGTTAGGAAAGCTGACTGCGATACCGAAGAGCCCGAAAAAAAAGGCAAGTGCCCGACATTCGATTAAAAAATATATAAACCACTGCCTGTACGCGGAGTAGTGCATCGTGAGTGTATCATTGAGAGTATCGAGAGTACGTTGAATTCAGTGGAATGTGCTCCGAAAGCGATTAACCGGGTCGGGAGCTGTACTTTAGTGCTTTGCCGTGAAGCTGTCCTCACCGTTGTAGCCTGAAGGCTGTGTTGCTGATTGTTTCAGAGTGTTTATCCTAGATTGTTCGGCGGCTGTAAACGTGTCTTTGGAACTCTCCTGTGTAATACTGTCGAATAAATTGTGTTTTGGTTTTTTATGCAGTGTTGTCGTCAATCACTCCAAATCCACGAACTCGTAGAACGAAAAAGTATGTATTTTACTGTAAGGAGTTGATATCGTCTTGCGTACTTACGGGTTCGTAATGGATCGAATGCTCACAGATCCGATGATAGCTTGATAAAATTTATTTTATGAAAAGAAACACTTTAGAATACTGGAACTTTCCACAAAAATACTTGTACAGCTCTTCTCAATATATATATATATATATATATAATAACAATTTTTTATTTAGAACAAAATTATCCCAATTTTTTCCGCGGAATTTTCAGTAGAAAATTAATCAGTATAGACAAAAAAGTCTTCTTAAGGAAAGAGGTGCGTGTTATACCGCGAATATACCTAAAAATTAAAAAATATAGCTTGAAATTATAGGTACGCGTTATACGCGAGAATATGCGGCATTTATTTTGACTAATAATTAATATAAAGCGACTTTCCTGTCGCTCCTGTTTCTCACCTACGCTTCTCATGCCACAATGTAAATTAGGTGACGCGCATTTATTGAGATTATAGGTGAAAGAAATGCTATTTAAGCAAAGATTTTGCAAATTGATTTTACAGCTTATTCATCATACCTGAGGCCATGTTGTTACCGTGACTTATTAGCGATTTGATTCTGTGGCGTTAAGAGCTTCTAGCCATTAAGCTTGTTCCGCCGGATTCTACGAGCCAGAGCCGTTTAAATTATCTTGTGGGCCTTTAGGCTAGTCTAATTACATTTTAAGTTAAGTATTGGCTTATGTAAACCCAAGTGAGGTTAATTCTTTGTGATTGAATAAAAGGGCTATTTACACCCTTCCTCTGGTTTTGTCTGCTCTGGTTATGAAGATAATTCCTCTACAGTCTTTCTAGAGCTCGTGAGTTTGTTAGCCAAGAATACGAGACTCTATAACGCACTTGTGAAATATTTAATTTTAAGATTTTCGGGCAGTGCCGTTTTCATTAACATTCATTAAAGTATTATGTATAAGATCAAAAAGCGTTCAGAATCACAGAATGATGCTTATTGTTAGAATGGGATGAACGCGTTTCCACACCAGATAATTACTTTGAATTTTGAGTATGTCTCACGACTAATTGCGAGTTAAAGAACAGATGAAAACAATTCAATACATGATGCTCTGTCACAAATAGACATGCACGTTTCAATGACATTGCTTTTTTAGATCGTGTTCCTGCAAATTTTAATCACTTACTTTGTATTGTCTCGTCCTGTCCACTACGGTGTGTCCATCATCTGCTTGAAGGGATGTAGAACACATCTGACCACCACGACACGTGCACAGACGTTCCACCCACGGCGTAGAATACGTATCGACTCGACTACAGACTGACCAGCGCTCGCATTCAGGCATCTGAGACTCGCCAGTCTAGAAAAGAGAACATAATAATGACTTCGACTGAAAATTAATTTCCATACATCCTATGGTAGGGGTCCCCAACCTTTTGGTCCCAAACAGCACATTCTAGAATATCTGTTGCACGGCGGGCACCATTTACTTCTTCAAGGTGTATTAATAGTTGGATAGAGTTTAATAACACATGCCCATAAAAAAACAAAGATCGGTCGCATTTCGCTTTGTGCTGGTATCTGTGTTGGACGCGATTTCTATTTCATTAAGCATGAGAAAACTTTCGCATAGAATTTTATTTAAAATTAAAACATTTTTTATTGTACTCGCACAGCGGTGGGCACACGTTAAACGATCGAACGGGCGCCATGGTGCCGGCGCGCAAAGGGTTGGGAACCCCTGTCCTATGATATATAAAACTTTTTTACTGAAAAAAAAAATTATTCTTATTTATTTGTGCATTATCTCTCCTAGTTTTATTAATATTATCCCTTTATTCTTTTAAAAATCGGGAAGTGAAAATTACATAGTATACACCATTTCTGAAAGGAAATAAAAGAAAATAATACCATTTCTGAAAGGAAGTTGCCCATAAAAACAGATGAACCCATAAAAGAAGTAACCCTTAAAAACAAATGTCCTTATATGGATTAATAGGTTCTTCCAGATAAGAATCGAGAAAAATTTACCGGTATTCGAACCTCAAATCGTCCAGTTGCTAGGTGGACGTGCACTTACACCACGAAGGAGTGCAATAATTCTTTATACAGATTGTGTTCACACATTTGTAGAACGGTTTCAATAAATAATTCTTTAAAAAGCAAATGATGAGAGTAAAATTTTCTGACAATAGATTATTATTTGAAATAACAAAATCGTCTCTACTTTTATATGTATTCTTCTTTCAAAATGTCGCATGTAAACGAGCCGTGCATTAAAGGATATATTTTTGGGCTTTAGGAAGAGTAACATTCCTATTCCATAATTCAAAAATGCTGTGAAATGCATCGAATTAAAATTTCTAAGTGCAAAATAAGTAAAATTTTTAATCGTAAGGAGAAAAAAACATCAGTTATTTCTCTATTTTATATTTATATAAAAACCCGAAAAATGAAAACCGAAAAAGGTACGTACTGTTTCTAATGCTTATAAAGTTAAATAGTTGGTAACAAGAGAAAATCCGCCGACCCAGAAATGAATTGCAAAGTCTTCAAATACATCTCTAGCAACAATAAATAAAATAAAAAACCAAAATTTACAACTTAAAAAAGCTAAAAAAAAACAAAGTTGTACGGCTTTTGCCCAGGCATGTGACTCAACGCAGAACAATTTGTACAACTCTGTATGAAAACTATTTAAAAGGAGAGGAATGTAAATACATTTGTGACCCCTGATAGATCACGGGTTTCAGTCATCTCGGGTCAATGACTGAGGGGGGGGGAGATCTATTTATTATCGAAAACGAAAAGGGAAAAAAATAGCAAACCTAATTCAATCAATGCAAAGAAACTTTCAATAGGAATGTGTGATTGTCGCAGAATTCTCTTATAATGGGAAATTTTAAAAATAATAATAAATAAATAAATAAAAAGTAAGGAAATTGTTAAAATCAACTCAACCTACTATCAAAAGAATGTTTTACGTCCAATATTTACAAAAGAAATTCCACTTCTTTATCCCAATGATTTTCAAAGAGTGAAACTCCAAACAAAGGAATAAGTCATGCTTCAAAAAGTAGCACTGAATTCCTTGAAAACATGAAGACTAATACAAGTATTGCATACATATCTTTCCATATTTCTGCGAACTCTTGAAAAGAAATCTTTAAACCCACCGCGACTGATGGACTCTGGAAAGTGGTGGAAAAGGAATGGAAATCATCACCCCCAGCAAGTTTTACAAAAAGCTTTTCTATCATGGAAATCAAGATTCAGACTTTTAGTGCAGATAAAAGGCGTCTTTCTCGCATTGTGAAAAAACAACGGTACCTAGTCATCAGATTTTGAATAACGTAGTCCTCCACCTAAACATGGGCACCTGGGAGCCCGAATTTGGAGTTTGTTTTATTGTCTATTTCCTATTTTGTAAAACTTTAACGAATTTTTAATCCAAAACCCAATAATTTTAAAGCAAGTAGTGGCAGCACTGTAGGAAATAAGATATTTTTATCTCCAGCGAGCGAGACTGTCCATCGGAAATGCTAAAGATACGCTGTTTTTAAATATTTTAGCCCAAATGCTCTCGAAACGTGTATGCGTCTGTAAATAGAAAGGGGGGAAGAAACAAAACGCCCGTTTGAGCATAGTATAAAATCTGAAAGCTTTCAGAATTTTTTTCCAGCAGTTTTTTTCCTTAGATCAATGATTATCCGAGCATTTAACAATATTTCTATATTCCGTATTACGTACACTGGTGCAGATAAAAGCAATTACCACATATTAAAGTCATCATATGCTATGACTACTGCTAATTCCCTGCATTTTTCTTTTCCTTTTGATTTTTTCTGTAGATAGTTTTGTTTATGGCGTATGATAGTAAATTTCTATCTTTTCACAATAAAGAAAGTTCATCTTTTAGATCGAATTCGGTTAATCCGCCGCCGGTATATGGGGAACTAATTCCGTTTCAAAATTCTTCGGTGCGATTGCATTATTAGCATTGACGGCTCCTTGCGCATCGGAAATGTCTTACCACTGCAAGTGAAAATGCCCGTTCCCCGGTGAACACCCAAAAGAAAAACAAAAAGGCTCGAAAATTCCTTCCAAAAATGTACGATGTCCTGGTCACGGCGTTTCCGCAGCCTTGCCTCTTCTCCGTTCCATTCGGATAAGAATCACTGGAAATGTGAATTTGAGTGAAAACATTTTAATTGCCGTGGTCACAGAAGAGAGAGCGCTTCGGCCCACTAATGTGTGTCGAGCGTTTAGCCGAACACTTAATTAGGCTTCCCTATTCCCACGTGCCACACTCATGCCTGTCTCCTCTACACTCCTTGGAGGATGTGAACAACATCATCCCCTTGCCCATGCGTGAGATCTCACGGGAGTCATCATCACGACCCTCCTCACTTTGTTAACCCAAAAGACGACACGCTCGGTATTTAATTCGCGCATGAATATTTATGAGAATGACGAACCTTGATTTCGGAAAACGTCTCGAAAGTTTACGTTGAAAGAAAAACGCTACAGGAAAGCTAACATATATGCTAATTCAGTCCTGCATTAATGGGGGGTTTCGGCAGCCGTTAGCAATCCGCGGCGTTGCCGAAATAAAATTTTGTTAGAGTAAAAGGCCAGGAAAACGAAAAATGAATTGAAATGTATTTTCCATGCCGGCATTGCATTAAAAAGTCGGGATACAGGTAATCAGTTCCATCCCAACTGAAGGAAATGGAATCTGGAGCTGAACTTCTCTCCGAAGCGTGTACCATTTCCTCGTGTTTGAAATGGAACGAAGTCTTTACAACATTTAGTAAGAAGAAATAGTCCCGTCCGGTTTCTAACTACAGCCGCAAAATAATCCACATTTATTCTTTGACCCAGAACAGAATACCCTACCGACAATACTGTTGCTATATGGGATTGGTGTTCACACACTTTTGTAACGACTTTGCGAAGTTTTATATATAAACAAACCTTAGAATTTTATTTTCTAATATGTTCAGTCTGATAGCCCTTTTTGTTGAACTATCTATCATATTACGTCTTGATTTCCAAGATAAAATTCCTTTTCTTAAAACATCGAGGTTGATTTTATTCCACTCTGTAGAAACTGTATTTTGAACCAGATGGCGCTGTGTGCGCCTGAATTCCTTTGAGGACTTCAGAACTTTGATGACTGTGAGTGATGTAACAAGAAATTACATTAAGTGCGAATTGCGAACTAAGTTATATGTGTTCTTTATTGTAAATGTAGTTGTGTCGTCAATAAAAAATTGGATGAAATGACAAAAAGAGAGAATTAGTGCTGCGTCTGACAGGTAAGCGAAATTTCTTAATTATTATTTGATTTGAACATTGAGTTTTAGAACAATGCGAACGCGAATATTAGATGTATATGCGTATTTACACACTCCTCCTTCACCATCTTCCAGACGCCATCCAATGTTTTGGGATGCCCTTATAAAGAGCTTGTTTTAAAAGTCAAAATGCACAGTAATCCACAGGAGACACATCAGGGGATTTGGGTGGGCTGCATTTAAAGGAAATAGCTTCAATTTCGGGTTCATTGCTCAATTTTTCAAAAAATAGAGCAGAAGATTTAGAGGTTCAAAGACGCATCCGCATGGTTGATCTTAAAACGATTAAAGATTGTTTGAATAGAGAGATGAAATTTCTTCTTTAAAAGTAGGTCTTAAAACATACTTCTGATAATAATCCGAATTAATTTTGACTATTTCTACTTCCTTTATTTTAAGCTTACCTTATAAGGTATTTCTTGCGCCTTCTTAGCATGCTTTCGCAGTGTAGTGGTCAGCACGCTCGACGCGTATTCGAGAGGTCCATGGTTCGAGTCTCGGGCGAAGGCTATGCTCATTTTTCATCTCTTCTGCTTCGAAATAACATAATGTCTCTACAGTGGCGCCCAAACTAAAATGTGGTGAATGATGATTCTTCACCACCAGGATTTGGCGATTGGGTCCCCTAAAATCGCAGTCTCCCTTTAAAAGAGGGAGTATATAAGGTATTGTTCCCGCCTTCGTAATGTAGTGCAGTGGTCAGCACGCTCGACGCGTATTCGAGAGGTCCGTGGTTCGAGTCCCGGCGAAGGCACTGCTCATTTTTCATCTCTTTTGCTTCAAAATAACCTAATGTCTTTACAACCGTTATAAGAGAATCTAGTAAGAACCATAAAACTAAATAGAAAAGTTTTCCTTTAACAAACATATTGAGTCTTTTCTCCTCTTTTTCGGTAGTAAATATCTTTTTTTCTATTGTAGTTCGATAAGTATATCCAAGCCTCATCCTTTGTAATTATATATTTCCATTTTTCACCTGCCAAATAATTTTCATAGAGCT